CTCAAGGCCCCAGGGCTGGATCCGGCCCATGGGGTACTTAGATCTGGCCTGCAGGGCCATTTTGGAAACAGCAAAGGACCAAGCCTGCAGTGCTTCTGCCAGAGAAAATGGGCTCCTGAGCTCCGTTTTCGGCTACCACAGCCTCCTGCAACCCTCTGCCAGTGAAGACAGAGCTCAGGAGGGCAGTGTGCAACCCTCCCTAGCTCTGTTTTCACTGGCAGAAGCTTGCAGGAGGCCGTGGCAGCCAAAAACAGACCTCGGAAGCCTGTTTTCACTGGCAGAGCGCTCGGGCCACCACAGGCACCCCTGACAGGAGTGATGTTGAGCTGGCCACGCCTACCCTGGCCCCTCAAGGTCAAACACAACCCTGATGCGGCCCTCAATGAAATCGCATTTGACACCCCTATGTCAGAAGGAAGATGGTATGGGAAACATTTCAGAGGGGACTCTCCCTAGTTTTCCACAGAGTAAAAAGAAAGATGGGAAGAAATCTTTTCAATCTTGCAAGAGTCTGTAAATGTAATCTTACAATAAAGTTACAGTTAGGGCTTCTGGTTGCGTTTCTTGTCTGGACTATCTCACAGAGTTAATAATAGAAACAAAAATATAAAGGAGAAGGGGGAAAATAAATGCTCTGGGTTTGATTGAAGATTGGCTTTAGTTTAAAGCCAACAAAAGGTGGGCAGAGAACTATTGATTAATAGGCAAAGAAATTCCATTAAGATGATGGAAGTTACCTTCATTATTCAGAACAGGATTGAAATGCCTTGAAAATGGATTTCCTGAGGAAACTGTTGTTGTTGTTTTTTACCCCAAAGAACCTTATCCTTAACAATGACAAACTCTAATCTTTTGTTTTAGTTTTTTTCCCAAAAGAATCAGTTTTTCTCTGTTGTCCTGCCCTTGAAATTCTGCCAACAGATTCATTATAGTTACAGGAAAAAGAAGAAACCACAAGTTCTTTGTCCAAAAATACCTGGGCACATATCTGTGAAAAAATATGGCACTCTTCCCAAACCACTAGCAGGTTACTTCAGCCCCACAAGACACTCTTTCACTTACTTCACAGTGGCTATTTCTGCTCTGATGAATAACAGGTTTCCCTTATGGAAATTGTTACATGAAAAGAGACTCTATGCACTTGATAAAAAGAAGAAATAAAGAACTCAATATCCATTCATCGTTGAAACCTTACCTGCACATACTAAGGTCTGAATGTTCACATTTCATGCCAACACTTAAAAGCAAGTAACAAAAACTTGCTCACAATGAAAAAGTCATTGACTGAGATTATCATTGGCAACTATTGAAATTGAATATGTAAATAAATAGTTTACAGCAAACAGGTAATGCATTACTATGCTCTAAATGACCATAAGAAAGGCTGAGCGCCAAAGAATTGAGGCCGTTGAACTATGGTGCTGGAGAAGATTCCTGTGAGTCCCTTGGACTGCAAGGCGATCAAACCGGTCAGTCCTAGAGGAGATCAACCCCGACTGCTCTTTAGAAGGCCAGATCCTGAAGATGAAACTCAAATACTTTGGCCACCTAATGAGAAGAAAGGACTCACTGGAGAAAAGCCTAATGCTGGGAAAGATTGAGGGCAAAAGAAGAAGGGGACAACAGAGAATAAGGTGGCTGGATGGAGTCACTGAAACAGTAGGTGTGAGTTTAAATGGACTCCAGAGGATAGTAGAGGACAGGAAGGCTTGGAGGAACATTGTCCATGGGGTCATGATGGGTCGGACATGACTTCACAACTAACAAGGGCCTTGATCTAAAGCACCCTGTTATTAACACAGCTGCCTGCAATTACTGCAGGTTCGAATCTTACCAGGCTCAAGATTGACTCAGCCTTCCATCCTTTCTAAGGTAGGTTAAATGAGGACCCAGTTTGTGGGGGCAATAAGCTGACTTTGTATAAATATACAAAAGTATGAAGGCTATTGCTTAACGCATTGTAAGCTGCCCTGAGTCTCTGGAGAAGGGCGGCATATAAATCAAATTTTAAAAAAAACAAAAAAAACCAATGCTCTAAATGTGCGCTGCGAGCTCTGTCAGATGCACAATGCAATATAATGTGATATATTTAGCAGTATATTAACAAATACATTTTAATTTTCCAATAATCAAAAACCTGAGAAAAAAGGATTTCATTGCTATTTTATGAAAAAAATCTAAATCTAAAGTAGATGATTTTATAATGCGATATTTAAACCTAAAAAGCTACCAAATTCCATGTGCCAGCCTGATGCTAAAGAAAGAAATCTTAGCATAGAAAATGAAAGCAGCATAATTCGTGTCCAGTTGAGAAATGACAACACAGATGGAAAATGTGCAAAATTTTCTCTTTATTGACTTAGACTTAGAATAACTTTATTGTCACTTTGAATATGCACTAATCGGCATACAGTAAAATGAAATTTTGTTGCATACAGCTTTCAAAGGGTCTTCGCCTCTAATATAAACTACATAAACATGAGAAAACAAACAAACAAATAAATAAATACAAAATTATGCACATATCGTCATATATTATATGATATAGAGAAACAACACAGTCTAGTTCGGATACATGTACATGGCGAAAGAAACAAATCTTGTGAGTTTACCAGATGGATGGCATAGGGAACAAAGCTGTTACAGAATCTGGTAGTTGTGCTAGAAATACTTTGAAACCTCCTCCCAGAGGGGAGCAACAGAAACAGACCATGAAGTGGGTGTGTGGGATCTCTAACAATGCTTTGAGCTCTAAGCACATACTGGATATCTTTAAAAAGCAGGCATTAGGGTAATCTTTGGCTCAATCTAGGCATGTTAATAGATGAAGCACTCCATTTTAGCAAAGGCATTTGCAATAAATTATGAGAGTGATGGTAGTGTCTGGGAAAACCATGTTGTGCTGCAATCACATTTTAATGTGTTTTGTAAGTATTTTAAGATTAACAAGATGATTTGAGTGGTGCTATCTAGTACTTACTTAAAGTGTGATGTGCATTTCTCATTATTATCCATTCCAATGCTAAACACGTTTTACCCTTGGAATTGTCTTCTTTTTCTGCAGATTATGGTGCAATTTGGAATACATGCAACTGAATGTTTTTGCATGAGAAATAATGTTCTTATACTCAGCATATAACAGATGAGGCTGGACTAGAATTTCAGAATATTGAATAGAGATATTCAAAACTTTGAACAGATAATTCAGTTTGAAGGAGATTCAGTTGAATGACCTCCCTGAATTAATTCTTTGAATTGATTCAGGGGACTGAATAAATCGTGTCCTTTTGCCTTCATAAAGATTCAAAAGCAGTTCAGAGATTTGATGAGATTCTGATGCTTTCTAGGATAGTTTAATGCTATAATAAGCCGAAGGGGATTCGGCTATTCAAACTAAATTTACAAATCAACTCTTGATTGAAATTTTGAAAACCTAAACTGAAATGGAATCTTACATTTACACATCCTGAAATAATATTTTCTGGAGTCATTTTAGAACTACACAATAGTTTTCCAAAAATAAGTAGGCAGCCTCCTATGTCTCAGGACTGCTTTTCTCAGAAATTCCAGCCAGCATCGACTTATGGCAGTCTAGAAATCTACAGGAAGACTATATGGGGAAAGCAGACCTCAAATTCTTTAAATAAAAAGGAAGGGAATATTTGTGAGTAAACCAGAGCACTGCTACTTACTTTTTAAGGTGGCAATTGATCATCCAGGTTAACAGCAGTTACAGGAGAAAAATTTCTATGGATAATATACATGTAAGCAGGGGTGAAATCCAGCAGGTTCTGACAGGTTCTGGAGAACTGATAGTGGAAATTTTGAGTAGTTTGGAGAACCGGCAAATACCACCTCTGACTGGGCCCAGAGTGGAGTGGGAATGGATATTTTGCAAGAACCTTCCCCCAGGAGTGGGGAGGGAATGAGGATTTTGCAGAATCCTTCCCCTGGAGTGGGGTGGGAATGGAGATTTTGCAGTATCCTTCCCCTGCCACGCTCACCAAGCTACACCCACCAAGCCACACCACGCCCACCAAGCCACACCCACTGAACAGGTAGTAAAAAAAATTGAATTTCACCACTGCATGTAAGGTAAGTTTTTAAAGTTTTATCTTTAAATTGTGAAACCTAATCATTAGAGTGTGAAAAGCATCCTCAATTTTGCAACAGTGAGCTGACAAAGGGAGAGGTGCCCTGTTTCATAAGTGCTGCGAACAGTAAGCAAATTCACACCCCAGAGTTAAGCTACTGTATATTTTTTTGCACCTCTGTTATTTATAGTGACAAATTGATTGAAAAAAATACATTTGCTTAGAATACCTCAAGCTTAAAATAAACGTATCCTGCAAAGTGTAATAGAAGTTTTTTTTTAAAAAATGTTATTTTAAGCTTCTTATGGCAGGGAGCTACCTTATACAATCTCGGGGGTAAATAAACAAATATTTTCTGGTGGAGTGTTGCCTACAGGTTTTCATTCCAAACTGCAGGTCACTAAAATAAACATTTTATTAACCCCAACAGCAAATAAACTCCTGTAATCAGGTTATGTAACTGAGCCGTACTGCAGGTCAGAAACTTCCAATACAGATATGATTGCAGCCCATTATCACACAAAAATCTAGGATAATGTGTTACTCCTGAGGGAAGAAATATTAAGGAGTTATATTTGAAAAGCTGTCCCTAAAAAACTAAGCCCCAGCAAAAAACAAACCAAAAGAACCCTACTTCACATAAAATAAAACCATTTCAAACAGGTTCTGAAAGAACAGCTTCAGCTTAGAAATCTTTGTCCAAATTTTAGGAATGATTTCCGGTTAGTGAAAAGCAACTGGCAGTATGAAGGACTGCCTCAGGAACAGGCTCAATTTTATGAGCAATTTTCCAGCTGTCATGGGATGGCCATGGCTAGAGAGGAACTTCCATGCTCTGCTAGTTCCATTATTCAAAATTCCCTGCTCTCCTTTCCAATTCAAGCAACTGATCTGTCTCTTCAGAGTAGCCAAGATTGCATGTGGATGTGATGGTAATGATACATTCATAGAAGACTGCACTCAAATACAAGGCTTATTTGTTTCTCAATCAGCATGCTGTGTGAAGTCAGTCTGTGAGTTTCAACTTGTGCTTTATAAGCAGATGTTATGGTTATTTTGGCTTGTGAGTGAGTGGCTTAACATTAGATGGGAACCTAATTAACAGTGTTATATGTACAGTATCAATAAGAAACAGCAGTTAAGCAAACCAAATCTTAGATTTATGCACAAACACAGCCTGTTAAAAATTGGGTAATATAAATCTCACATATCTCACATAAATCTCACATATTTGTAACAACAGCATTATAGTAAGTTTATCAACAAAAATAACTGATAGGATGGCATTTTTAAAAAAGCCTATTATTTGGAGCATGGAGATCACTTTACTTGAGGGAGCATTAAGAGATGATTAAGAACACTAGATAACAATAAAAAAGAACCAAAATAATAGACAACCTCTTAGAGAATGAGAGACAGTTTAGTGTCATAGTTAAATTGCCACAGACTAGAAGTCCTAGTTCAGCCTTAGGCACAAAGGAACCTGGGTGAATTTGGGCCTGGCTTTCTCCTTCAGCTATATGGAGAAATCTTCCTTTTGGATAAATATGACATATCAAAAATCTTTTTATTAAAATCTTTTAAACTTAAATTGTTTAAAATTTCCAAATGCACTTCAGGACATCTGCCCAAACTTCTCTCTGTTCATCATTTTCACTTACATCAAAAGCATCCTTGGGAAGGGTCAAAATAGTTAAGATGGCTGCTGTAACTATAGAACCAATTGAGACTCATATAAAAAAAGGGGCAGAGCTTTGGTTGCACAGTGGCAAATGCCATCTTAATTTTTAACTCCCATCTTTGAGACCCCCCTGAATCATTTTTTTCAGAACTATCACATGTGAAGTCATATAAATGTCATTAATTTTACTTGTTTAAAACATTTATATAGCCACTGATCTTATAATCAATTCTGGACAGCTCCCAACCGAGTTAAAACAGATAAAAGCCATATTATGGCAGTCTGCACAGCCTATCACACTTCCAGCTCTCTGTTAAAGTTCATGTTTATCTTGCAGATGCACTCTTTGTGAAATCTTGTGTGAAACAAAATTATTTCTATCTGACACTTGAAAGTACTCAAGGGCTGCAATAGGAAATACGATCTTGAAACATCAAAATGACGTGTTAAAGTAAGGACTTAGGGGTTTGATACCCATTTGGTTTCTTAAACCACAGAGAAATAAAAATGCAGGGCCCATGAACCATAAGTAAGACTATGGTATCTGAGACAGAATAAAATGGCTGACAGGCAACTGGAATGAACATCTGTTACTAGGGCTGATTAAGAGCCACATAGACATTTTGTTTATGGATGATGCTGGCAGCTCAGTCAACTTGAAGAGTTAATTGTATAAATGCAAATTAATTTGTCTGTAAACACTGGACTTTTGAAAATGTAGATTTGCTCTTCTCTTTCCAATATTTAGCAATTTGTATGAGAGTGGATTCTGCTTCATGGAAGCTTTGACAACAACTGTTTATCTGGAGCCGCATACTTGTGGTATTTGTTTAACAAAAATACAACAATCTGAATTTATTTCTGAGTGAGGTTGGTCAGTGTAGGTTTCACATGCCATTAAGCCAGATTCTTGGACATTTTTAAGTGACTGTTTAGAAAGAAGATACTATAATATCCTTAATGGAAAACATACTTTTTCAAAGATGATAGTAAAAAGTTCTTAATACATGGTTGTACTGGGCAAAAAATATTTATCTGTTTCATTTTCCTAGTCCAGTTCTTATTTGTCTTGTGCATTAGGCTTAGAATGCTATTAAATGCCTGTGATGTTATTCATTAATATATGTTCATTTAATTGGCCTAGGATTCGCTATGACAATTGTCAAATCTTGGAAAATATAACCTGTTAATAGCAGCTTTCCAGCTCTTAATTTTTAAAAAAGTTATAACAGGAAGTCAAGCAAGAACAAAAAAAAATTGAATTAATAGTTATGTATTTTTATTTACAGCGGTCCCCACTTTTTGTCAAGGAACTCATAGTGATAGGCGGGACTCTCTTTCCTCTTATATTTTGCTCTTTACAAGCCCTATCACACAACATTAAAAACTATTAGGGCATTTAAGATGCTGCTAAATTACAAATTTGATCTCTCACTCTCGGCTATGCTCTCCTAGGGTTGCTACAAACCAGTACTACCTCACCTTGCCCTGGCTAGAATACCATGCTGGTCCAAGGTCATGTAATATAATCTTCAGATTGCATGGGGCATGTGATAATTTGTGAATGTCTGATAATACTAGCCCCCCTCTGCTCATCCAGTGCTGAATAAATATAAATGTGCTATGTTCTCATTTATCATACCTGTGATGCATATTAAGTCTGAAACATCTGGAGAGCATAAAGTGAAAGAAGTCTCCATTAGTTCTTAAATTGCCGAGACTCTTTTTGTTGTTTGTATAATTCATGTAAGAATCAGTCCTTTGTCGGTCTCTTAGGTTTAACTTTGCACTTCACTATAGCAAATGTTTGTTGTTTTCATGCGTGAGGTCCAAACATTGTCTGCATTGTTCTTGGAAGAAAGTCAAAGGTTAAGGGCAAATTTTAACAAGATTACAAGGAGAAAAATGACTTTCTAGAAATGTTCCTAGGCCTTAAAGTTTCTTTAAAATGTATTCAAACTAGTTTTCAAAACCTGCTGATCTGGACAATGGGCTACTCATTATCTCAGTAATACTGCTTATAATAAGCTCAGAAATATTTTACTTAGCCCAATTTTAAATGTTAAAGCAAAAAATAATTTACCTAACCTGTCCAGAAAGGGTTTCACTTTTCTTTTGTACATCCAGGGTCCCCAAATCTTTGGGTTCAAGAATGGACCCAAACATGCAGGGGTGAAATGCTCCTGGTTTGGACCGGATCATCTGATCCAGTAGCGATGGCAGCAGGTGGTTCGGAGAACCAGTAGCAAAAATCCCTGCGGCCCCCCCCCATGCCCAGCTGAGCCGCGTGATCATCAGAGGCTTTTTTTTAACTTTTAAAAGCATTTTTTCCACAACCTCTTTGGCTGAAGAAATGCTTTTAAAAGTAAAAAAAAAAAGCCTCTGATGATCGCACGGCTCAGCTGGGATTGTCGGAGGCTTTTAAAAGCATTTTTTCTACAACCTCTTTGGCCGAGGAGATTGTAGAAAAAAATGCTTTTAAAAGCCTCTGATGATCCCAGCTGAGTTGCCTGATCATCAGAGGCTTTTAAAAGCATTTTTTTTTGCAACCTCTTTGGCTGGAGAAAAAAATGCTTTTAAAAGTTAAAAAAAAAATTGGCCACGCCCACCCTGTCACATTACCCACCACCACCAAGCCACGCCCATAGAACCGGTAATAACTAATTTTACATTTCACCACTGGGTACATGGTGTTGGGCTTGATTTCTTCTTTTTTAAGGTTGCATTTGAATTGTAATAGGATGTTCAAGGGACAAAATGAAGCCTTGCAAAAGGTTGAAGCATTCATTTCACCCCTTAAAATTTCTGAGCTTCTATCAGAGTTTCTCCGAAAATAAAGAGGCAAAAATTTATCTTATGAATAAGGAATTATATCAGACCATTGACAGTGTGATAAGGTAGGAAATATGGTATAGAACTTATACCTATTCAAACCAGATACATTATGCAATGACCTAGCTTTATGGAGAAGACTCTAATGCTGGGAAAGGTGGAAGGAAAGAGAAGAGGAAGATGAGCAGCAATATGGTTGGACTCAACTCAGTGGCATTGGAAGACCTGATAGAACAGGTTAGGGATAGATCATCACGGGGGGAAAATCTATGTGTCCCTACAAGTTGATAACAACTTGTTGGCACATAATCAACCAATCAAATAGAGACCTGACAAAATGGCCCTAGCCCCAGATACTTTTGGATTGTGGCCTCGATATTGTACACAAAGTTTGTTTTTGTCCTTAAGGCAATGAAAATTCTGTATCCATGAATAAAGACATTTTGCTGCCTGAAGGAACTGAACTGTTGCTCAATCACCTAATAATAAGCCATGATTATTCTCTCTGAAAATGATAACAAAGTAATGGCTTAGCAATTCTCATGGTAACTCAAATCTACCAAAGGTGACTGTCTCATTCTACCTAATGGGAAGGATACTCTTGAATCCCTCTCTGTCCAAATCATATACAGAATCTCCATACAATTCCTCATTGGTAGAAGGGGCCACATCCTTAATGGGAAAACATAAATTTTCAGAGATGACAGTAAAAAGCTTTACTTTAGTATGATAGCAAAAAGCTCTACATCTAACTTTTCCAAGCGCATTCTCCCACCCTCTCCTGACCATTCTTTTCAGCTTTATGTTTGTCAGACCAAAAAAAAAAAGAATTCTACCTTATTAAAATGATAGTAGATTTTGTTTCAAGGCATTAAATGAAAGAGCAAGTTGAACAAAGGGCCATGTTTGGATGAAGAAAATCCACGTTCCAGAAATCTGGTTCTATTTTGATACGCTCACATTGTGCCAGAAGGGCAATAAGCTATAGTAACCTCCTCCCACTCTTCTGTCTCTCTGAAAACCTATTTTGAGTGCTTTAAGTAAAGCTGTTGTTGCCTTTTTCCTGCCTTGTGTTCATTATCGTTAACATCTCCCCACTCTGATAGCATTTGCCAACATTCTTGGCTACTCCTATGCAGATCATAGGATCCTAGAATTATGCCAAGATGCTAAAGAGGCAGCTTATATGAATAGATTTTTTGCCATGACCACACTCACTTTCCTGCCTGTTACTAAAAGCCTAGGCTTCTGTAATCCAGTTCATTTAGTTGTCACACAAATAGTATACTTACATATAAATATACTGTTTAGATATAAATAGCACCAGAAATTGTCACTGAAATTGTGCAGGGTAAAATTCAGTGTTGTCTGGTAAAGGTTTCCAACTGCCAGAAAAATAATGATGATGGTGGTGATTTTAACAATAGCAGATATGAAAAAGTGTATATCAGCAATTACAACTCTACCTATAGATGAAGAACATAACATTCTTTTTATTTA